ATAATTAATTGAGAATTAATTATTATTTAAATAATGTGATTATTTAAATTTGAATTTGAACACATCTAGATTTATCCATTTAAACTTATTTGATAAGTTGTTCAATTTAGAATTCAAATTAATTTAAGTTTGACTTAAATTCGAATTTGAATCTGAATTAAAATTAGATTACTGGATAAAGGATAAAATCTCTTCCTTTCCTATCTGAGATTGGCACCACACATAGGGATAAACCCTAGGAGGGTGGCCGGCCATTAAGTGGATAAGGGGAAAGGATTTTTTGTTCCAAATTCAAAATTGGAGATAAGGATTTGATTCTATTTTGAAGTTTGACTTCTACTCTTTAAATATGAGAAAGATAGAAAATTGTAGACACAATTTTTTAACAATTTTTCAGCCCTATTTTTTGAGTGTGGCCGAATTTCTCATAGAGGAAAAAGAGAGCAAAATATTTTTCTCCAAAAATTCCATATCGTGCATGCGTTGGTGTTTGTGGAAATTCGAGTGTTTAAGAAACCTGTTTTGTCTCACGTGTGCCCACACACACGTCTACGTGGAATCAAAGAATTGACGTGGAAGACTTTGGTATTCTAAACACAAAGCTTGGAGCAAAGACTGTTCGTGGTCAAAGAAATTCAAGTTATCATCCGAGTCGGCTTCTAGGTATTTTTTTTTGTTGATCCTTGAATCATGTAAATTAATGTGATTAATTTATTCGTGCATAAATTAATATAATCTATAGAGTATCTCAAAAGTTTTATGAAAATTTTTGTTATACACGATCCGTTGTTTTTCCTACCACGCTTCCGCACCCGAATTCGATTCGGGAACCAGCAAAAACTTGGTGGCTTACTCGTTTTTGGCATTTTCTTTATCCTATTAAAATAATGGGAATTGCGTTGTCTATTGTGTCGTGTATTTGGATATCCAATATCATATTATAAAAGTTAATGAAAAAAAGTGTAAAGGCCAGCTAATTTTTTGTGCAAATTTCGAACATCACATACGTACTTTAATTGCAAGCAGAATCTCATGCTCAAGAAAAGGGGCAAATTTATGGTTTATAATTTACGCATGGTTTTTTTTTTTTTTTTTTTTGCTAAAAGATTTATCTATTGTTCATCTATGTACAGTTAGAATTTAGGTGATGTTTTTTGAGGACGTTAGGATTGTGGGAAAAAAATCATGTGCAATATTGAGTTTTAAAAATAAGATATTAACAAATAAACTAAGAGTAATCTTCCAATTAAGAAAGGAAAATAGAAACAAAAACACTCGAGTCATAAAAAAAAAAAAGTGATCTTTCTAAACTAAGAAAAACAATGTAATGTTTATCCCAGTTTGTTATTGACACATGTTAGTTTGTTCCTGAATTTTCGTTTCAAAAACAGTAGAATGCGGCCGAAGAGATGTTTAACTTTATTTCACTTGAAGAGATATTTCAACCCAAAAAAAAAAAAAGGAAAAAAAATTATTGATGCGAATATACATCTACAATAACAGAACGTGAGGTTTGCCATTGGCAACAAGTGCATCACAAGCGACATATATGGCTAGCTTCCATGATATATAATGTTGTGGTGTATCGTAAAAAATCATTACATTGAAAATAATATGATTCAAATAGAATAGAGTCCTGCGCACCAAGGAAATACGGCAATAACAAATATATAGATTTTAGATATGTTGTCGAGTGAAGAGTATAGAATATAAGGCAATCTTGTGGCCCGTTGTGTATATGGTGTATATGTACGTATGCTATGTGTATGTATATGTGTATAATAACATTTTTGTGTATATATATAATATGTCTACATGTCTTTGTATGTATGCATATAGATACATTTCTATTATCTTATTATATCAGGAATGTAATACCTTAAAAGGTATCAGTACTCCATATATATAGTTGATGGGTAACGTATACTTAATGGAGGAAACATACGTAACGTTATAGTTAGGGACAAAATGAGAAAACCTAATTAATTTTGTACGCATCACCATTTGGTTTGTTTTGTCTCTTAACTATGATGCTACGATTAGCATATGAGGAACAGTCCTCTAACACACTAC